AACTCAGGTTGACAAATCAGGTTGTATATGGAAAATCATATCAGGGTCACAATTTTTTCCTAAGAATATAGTACTGCATCATTTCTGACATATTCAAAGGACTTTTGAATTTTTCACTTGCAGAAAACCTTTTCCTCTTGCATGTTAATTCTGGAATTTCAATACCATTTAATAAACCTCACATTTCTTTTATGTCATATGTGCCAAAGTGTATTATTTTTTAAAAAGAATATCATCATAGTCAAAAAGTGATGTGAATATTTATGAATATGTATGAAGGACAATTTTCATTTCAGAAATGGTTTTTAAAGAGAATGGATGTGGATCAAGATGAAGAGGATATCAGGAAAAACAGTTTCATCACAAATGCTTTTGAAAATATATTCCGCTATACAGAGTGAAGCAACAGACAATATTACAAGTGCTCTCCTCAATAGGGAAATGTACTGTGTTTTCTGGCATAAATGCAAACAAATATTAGTCACAACCTTAAACTAGATATTAGTATAAGAAATGTGAACTCTTTCAGAAATGACAACAAATAGCAATGGGAGGGTTTGGAACTAATATCATGGAGGTAAAAAAATCTCCATGCAAACGTTAATATTCAGAGGATCGCAAACATGCCCTTAATTCCCAACATTTTTTTGTTGTCATTTCTAAGGGTCTGCACGGGGGGTCCCGATTACTATATTCTGCAGCGCAGCGCAGCGCGGCCACAATTTACACTTCCTTTCTGCATACTGGATGAGTAACACGTAGATTGCCATCTTTAAATCAGAGTCAAATTATGCAAACTTGAAATGGCAACGCGCAAATTCTGTTAAGCAACTGATCATCAACGACCCTGTATTACACTTCATGGGATGTTTCACGCTACTGGTAATGCACAGATTATGTTCAAAAGAATAGCCCAGCTAATGGAATTGTGCAAAATTCAAACGGCAAATTACGCTTTGCGACATGCAGACCCTCATTTTTGAAAGAGTTCTAAGAATAAAAGCCAACTCACAGTCAAGTCCGATGTTCTCTTGTCTTGATAGGTGACCGTGAGGTCCCTAAGTAGCACTGGCGGATCCTCCTGGAATTACAGGTACACAAGACAGCTGACAGATCCTCCAGGAATACACAGGATAGCACACGGGTCCCACATGGTCAGGTATACAGTATCAGCTTCCCAAATCTATGGGTATAAAAGAAAAATTATGGAATCAAAATTACAAGTCAACTTTACATACACAAACAATATTCACCGAGCATGCATGCCATCAGACAAGATACACCATACATCGTGATATTCACAACATTTATTAATGTTTAAAAACCTGCTTTGGGTTGGGTTGGGGACAAGAGAAGTGATCTTTTGTTAGCAGGTGAACTAATGGCACAGCAACAAGTGAACACTCACATAAAATACATCTCAGGTAAGATATCACATCATAGAATATCATCATTATGGAATATCATGAACAAGCAACAATCACATGAAATACACCAAAACAGCTGGCAACAAGTTGACACCTACAAAATCTAAGCTAGCTACAGAAAAAATTAATGACACATGAAATGCAATTTCAAGCATCAGATCAACAAATTTTCAAACACATCACATACTTAAAGAATATTATGAGAGAAGTGAACATGTTTTACAAATAGAACAGAATCATCAGAACATTCATGAAATGCTAATCCGTGAGGGAAGAAGACAAGTGGTTAAAAGAGCATCACAATGTACATTCAATGACAAACATGAAACCAGTTCCACAAATGTGAAAGATGTGCAATAACTCATACCATACAACAATGGATATAACAGCCAAAATGCTAATTGCAAGTAAACACAACACTCCCTGATTCCATTATGGCGCAGTGTATACATCTTATCATCAACATTCACATACGCACAGGCAGACATAATATAATAAGTCTTGTAATAATCATGATGCCATTATGATTCTGAATATACATGTACATACAGGACATACAACTTCAGTCAAATGCATTATAAACTAGAAAGGCCGACATTTGCTTTGGAGCAAATACAGCAATGGCTTCACCACATTTTACGACATGGCAGGGAAAGAATGAGAAACACAAGGGAAAACAATGCTTTACATTGATATAACTATAGTATGAAGTAACATACAACTAAGACTACAACAGTTGGATAGCTATTCCCTACATTATTGGTTAGGATTTTTAATTGCATAATGCAAACTGTTGATTTTCAAGAAAAAAAGAAGTGTTCATGCCCCGCATTCCAATGCTGGAGCAGGAAAGCTTGAAATACCTACCAAAACACTTGAATACAGACATACTGTCAGTATGGAATGGATCTGAGCAGGTATTAATTAAGTTAAGCCTGTTAAATTCCAACAGCCAATCAGCAAGGAGAATAGAGGAAAGCTGCATGCCTATTGGTTGATGCCCTGCATTCCATTGTGATGAGTCATGCCCAAATGTGGTAACACTGCACACTAACTCAGTAATACATTTGCTATAACACAGCCAAAAAACTCAAATAAAACCATTCTAAAAGCCTGTATCACAAAAATTTAAAAAACGCCTAGGGGTATTTGCCCACTGTACCTCCATACCAAATTTCAGGACCTTAGGCCCTAAAATGAAGAAGCTGAATCCATTTAAAAAATGGCAGGAGAAGGAGAAGGAGAAGGAGGAGAAGAAACATCAGAAAAAGCAATATGGGTTCACCACCACTTCGTGGTGTGGTGAACCCATAAAAAGACTTCAATACACCGAACAATGTAGTCCCAGACACTATTAATACACATGACCATGTTAATACACAAAAATGTTCGCAATATAAAGACCAACTGCAACGTGTGAAAGGCAACGTGATGTGTACATATACATACAGACTTAACAACGTTATATTGTAATCATCATTCTTTTCATCAATACAGCACTCATGGAAATAGAACACATGCATTAAGACACAACTTCAATAAAGACTTCTTTTCTAAAAACGTAAGAATTGTGTGACCCGGTGCCTTCGTGTTTAGCTTACCTGGCTTTTGGCCTTACCCTTAAATGTACGTCGGCCAAGATAGAATATATTTTTCCTTATGGACACAGGCATTCATTGCTGCACCTGGAACACAGTAAGAACAACTGAGTTGCACAGCAAACACGACGCGCTAAGCGCAAATTTGTTAAGACTAAGCGCGAATTTAAAAATTGGCATTTGGCTTCACTAATACTAAGCGTCGGCAATTTGGCGGTTAACGTTCTAAGCTGTAAGCGTGGCGAATTTTGTCCTATTATATAAAGCGTGACCTTGGCGCTTAACTTCCAAAGCGCTTAGCACGAACTTAGTTTGGCGCTAGAGAGTCCTAAGCACGAAGTTAACGATTAGCCCCCTATCCGAATTTTGCGCTTAATCAAATTGGCGCTTCAATTGGCGCTTAGCCTCCTACTTAGGGCTTAGCTTCCTATTATTGATTCTTTATTGACACAACAAAAAATTAAAGTGCCCATTTGCGCAGCTTGTCCTAAGCACCAATTTAAGGTTTTCACGGAACTTTAATTTAGGGTTTTGACCCTTTTTAAAGGTGTGGATCCTACTTCAAGGTTTCGACCCTAATTTGGGTCGTTTAATAGCCCATATTTGTTTTTTTAACCCTGGTATAGGCTTTTGACACACGGTGCGTGTTGTAAATAAGAACCTGGGGTACCCGAAATGCCGATAAAAATATTCGGCTCACGCCGCTTAAAAATATCGGTGTGAGGTTGACAGTCTTCAACTCTTGTTGATAAATAAATAGATTGAGATATCGTTATTATTCAATGACAGGTACAACCATGATATGTTGTTGATCATTTGAGCATTATCAATTCAACCCCGACAATGCTGTTTATGATGTTTTGAAAGCCGAAGACTCCCGATCGCGAGTACATTCATTGGACCATACAGCAGCGCCCCCAGCGGTTGATTAGGTAAGTGCAGTATTAAACGCTGTTTAACACAACCACAAATTATTTTCGAAATTTCAGGGTTTTGCTTCATTTTCCTTCCACGAGGTTTTCCTACAATATTCCAGAGACTATCCGAGACAATATGAAGTACAACTTACCACCCGAAGCGGACGTTGCGCGTCTTTCTAGACAGATTTTTCCAGAGCGTTCTTCCCTTCCTTGCACACTCCATCTTGGAACGGCGTGTTTCACGCACAGGCATGTACCACCTGTTAATCATGAGAAAAATTTGAATATGGTAATCAAGCCGATATTAGATTAACAAGTAGCCAATGGGCAAGCACCAAATTTAATTGTTTTGATCACCATTCAACTTAAGGAAACTAAGGAGGGACATTGACATTACCTGAGGAATTGATCTTTGTTTGCACCATTGAACATTAAACGTTATCTTCTACATTACAGTTCCATCTTTTTATAGCAAATTTGTTCAACTTTCCCAACTACTTAGTACTTAGATTTGACAATGAACATAACTTTTTTGCCTTCCTTTTTTTTGCAGTTTTGTGATGCCCAGATGTTACCCATATAATCTTATCAGTGTGGACGTGGCCTTTCTCTATTTATCCTACTGCTGTATGGCTTTAGTATCTTTCCAGTTGGTTTTTAATAGTTAAAAGTCACCAAAGCAAATAGAAAACAAAGCTGCTTAAGTAACTTACATTAAAGGACAAACAATTATTCATTCCCAACATAATTTTTAAACCTGACATTTTGAAGTTTGTCCAATGGTTGTTTGCGAAATAATATGTTTCGCCTGGCTGTATACTTGGGGGGTCACCAGAATATTGATGCCATATATTGAAGTTGCCAATACAATCCCTCTTTGAGATTCAGAAGAAAAGTATCTTCAGAACCAGAACAATTGCTTCTGCTCATGAGACTGCCTTTAAAGATGAATCTAACCTGATGCACTGGAGTCCTCTGTTTTTAAAGGTGACATATACATATACATGTAATCATATATCACTAATTTTGAAAGAAATGTCAGTCAAGACAAGAGATAAGTGACATGTGCCATTTATTCTGTTTGAAAAACACCTAGTAGGCTACTTATGTTGTAGTGACAAACCTGGTTTTAGTATGTAAAAGTGTAGTTCTGTAAGTGCAAAATACTTTCTCAGAGAATCACAAAATAGCCTCACATCTGTGTATTACTATCAAATCAACATCCTAATAGCAGAACAAATGCAACAAATCTTTCAAATCATTCTGTCACTGATTTTCCAACTGCAGTTCTCCACCATTCTGGGTATTGAACAAGTTTTATTAAGTGTAATAACGTTACCAAGTACTGTTGACCTTTCTGAACTTGAAGTTATTGCTTTTTTCTTATTTCTTATCTTACACAATGCCATAGGTCTTCTTTCATTGGAGAGGGGCAAAACTTAAGAATGTGGTTTACAAATTCCTTCTTTGTGAAACTGAGTAAATAAGCAGATATCACTACTTTTTCCTACACCAAAACCTGATATAAATGAACACACATGTTAAGTTTAAAATGTAGTTGACAATGGAGGGCAGCCATCTTTGACAGCGATCTAGCGTGAAGCCAAACTGTTACAGAAATGGTTCCAGCTCAGCCAGCTGTCGCTTTACGGCTGAACCTTCATGAGCGTAACTGGTCGGCGCTGCTACGGCGCTGGCAAAGATGTCGCACTTGTTTTGCAACATTGTATCAATGTATTGTAACGTTACCTCAAAACAATGCTTATCTTGATATGCTATCTCCTCGTGTATACATGTAGCTGCCTTGTCATGCTTATACAGAGGTTGTACATGATTTTGTTACCATTTCCAAACAAAAGTGACCATGTGGGAGTTCTTTGTACTCTTCAAAAGTCTAATACTTTTTTATCTAATCTTTTCTAATGGAATGTCTATGTTCACTAAAACTTCAAAATCTATATAGTGAAAGTCATCTACATGACAGATACCGGTACTGCTAAGTACACTGATCTTTACTGCACAGTAAAATTGGGAACATGATATATGTCAGAATCTCACTGCTGTTGTGAAATGAAACTGTCCAACTTTCTCTGTTTTCTGAAAATTGTTGTGTAAAATAGAGTTTGAAATATAAAATACCTCTTTTGAATTTCATTTTACAAATGGACATGGCTGTGTTTTAGACAGTTGTAAGTAAATCTGCAATATTTCTTAATATGCAAATCAAGTACAGATACAAAATTGCTAAACAAGGCAACTGCCTTCCAAAGTACATCTGGTAGGAGCCTTCCCATTGGCCAGCCTACTTCATCAGCGCTTCTATATCCTTCTTGATGTCGATGGTCTGGAAGTAGCGGCTGAATCGCTTGATTGGCTGCCCGTCTGGACCAATCAGGAACTTCTCGAAGTTCCAGGCGATGTCTGTACGCGTGACCGGGCTCCAGATGACGCACTTTGGATCCTTCATGATGAGAAACGCGTTCTCAGAGTCGGCGGGGATGGGGAGCTTCTCGCGTAGGTAGGCAAAGACGGGATCAGCCTCGGATCCGTTGACTTGGACCTTAGAGAACATGTCGAACTTGGGCTCGAAACCGTTTCCAGGTCGGACATACTTCAGGGAATTCAGGATCTCGTCATTGGTGGCATTTTCCTGAAAAAATTATAAGATACAGTAACAGTTTTGTTCACGATCCATAAATTTAAAAATGTTTTCATTATGTTCCTAACTTCCTATACAACCATTTTAAACCTCCCAATTGATACAAATGATTTGATTAAACACTGAAAAAGAGTTCTGGTCTGGTGTAGCATAGAGAGGGTCTTCACTAAACAAGTTCCAACTCCTGACTCTTACTTAAAGGTGCTTTATTAGGCCTAATTGATCACACATGTTCTCCTCTTCACTAGCCTTGTTTTATACCCCCAAACTGGCATTATAATACATTTTACTACCGAGTAAGCTCAACTGATCTTGTATGTAATGTCAAACATATAAATGGCTGTGTGGGAGGAGGGCAAACTAGCAACCATAGAATGATAAAAGTTAATTGATGCACTTTGTCCGACCACTTCTGACAAATGCTGGCACTCACATGTACTCTAGGCTACAAAACATACACAATGTAATAGATAGAACCATAAAATAGCAAGATTGTTAAGTGAGTTAAGTGCTACACTTTATGTACTCACAATATGTGAGTGAATATTCTACAGATTCTCATTTGAAATGTCCGCACACCATTTCATTATAAAAAGGTAGTAAGATTTTAAATGAGTAACTCATTAGGCCAGGTTGATTTGATAATATGGATGACATCCTCTGGGAACCCTGAAACTGATGGGAGCGCGCGAACAAAAGGAAGTTTGGCAAAAAAAAAGTTGCCTTCATTATGAAATCTACGTGGTCATGAAGGTTGAGCAAATGACTAGAACACACAGAGCATGGTATGGCGAATAATAGACTCTTCATTTTCATTTCTTCACATTTTCTTCTTTTCGTTTGGAATTGATTTTAGCATTCTACAACGTTTGTATTGTTCTCCAATGATGCTGGTTGGTCCATGAGCTGACCTGATGCCCGAACTGGTTGCAGGGAAACCCCAGGATAGCGAGCTTGTCCCCAAACATGGCGGCCAGCTCGTTCAACTGGGTGAAGTCCCGCACCGTCGTGCCTCAGAGAGACGCCACGTTCTCCACCAGAACCACCTTCCCCTGGTACCGGCTGAAGTTCACCGTCTCCCCCGACAGAGCCTTCGCCGAGAGCTCGAAAAACGACTTGACGGCAGTTGAAGCTGCCATGTCTGTGTGGGAAAATGAAACACTGTAAAACAGAATAGCAGAATGTACCTGCTTGTAAAATCAATACATATGTAAACAGTTCTTAGCTTATTAAAAATTTATCTACGTTGCTAGTAACAAAATGCAATAATGTATTTATTTATTTATTTATTGAAATTGCGACGAATACAATACAATGTGGACACAAGGCAGCTAATCAGCTGATGGCGTGACCACATACATAGAATATACATACATACATACAATATACATGTCAAACAGCAAATACAATTGAATAACAAGAAAGAGCTAAGAATCATGTACATCTATATACAAAAATAGCTAAGATTAGAAAGGTGCTAAGGCATGTAAATACCATAAAAAACTAGAACTTAGTACAATATGGAAAAGCAGAGGATCAGCTGGAAGTAAATCTTTTTGTAGATGTTATAAACGTGTGAAGTGCATCTGAAAGTTGCTTATTGATAGTAGGGTCATGGTCTGGTGAACCTTGAAGTAGGAGGGAAACGGTGGGACGTTGTTGGACAAGTCGTTCAACAGCTGCAGTAAGTCTGCTGCGATGGTCAGAGTATAGGGGGCAGTGTAATAAGTAGTGCTGGACTGTTTCAGAAGAAGAACCGCAGACACATGCTTTGCCCTTGATCTTCATCTTGTATAGTGTACTGTTCAGTTGGCACCAGCCCACGCGTAACCTGGTAGTGCGTATGTTGTTCGGCCTTGAGCCTAGAGTACGGTACATCTGATGATGCCTCGTGGTCAACAGGTGCTTTTTACTCGCTCTCTTGAAAGCAGCAAGGTTGCTGGCGTCTCTGACTGTCTGGGGTAGCTGGTTCCAAAGTGAAGATGTATGTGGAATAAAGCTGGTTTACACGTATACAACTACGCAACAATACTCACCTTTGTGTCCCTTGCTGTCGGACTCAGGTTTATAAATGCAATAATGGGATTACAATATGCTGTTTTAGGATTAACAGGATGTCTTTCCACTACTGCTACAATTTAGGACAAACAAGGACATTATCCTTGGTACAAACAAAATGGTAACCTTCATGTCACAGAAATAGTTTATATTATCTAACAAATACACATTGAATATCTCTGCTCAAGGAAACTTCTTGCTCTGTTGAGTGATTTAGTATTATGACCCCAAATGCACTCCTGCATTCGTGCCTAGCTAATCATAAATAATGATTGAGGTGTACTGTACATGGCTTTTCAATTGCACACCGTGTACAATGGAAAAGCCATGGGGGCTCCATTTAGAAACGCATTTTCTTCAGGCCTAGGTAGGAGGAGACAACCGCAAGTCCCAGGAGGCAACTTAAATACAATAATGGGGGATTAGCGCCTAATCGTCCGTGGTGATTAATCTACAACTGCAAGCAGATGTTGGGCGGAAGTCCAGGTAATCGTTTCCTGACTTCCAGGAATTCTCTGACTGCCCTGTAATCTGAGCATACAAAAAACGGTACGATTTTCCACACCCAGCGTCTGCTTGTGGATTCCATGGTGATCAGGGAACTACGTGATCAGCTACATGTCGTGCCAGCAGTGTACTAGCAATACCATAAATGCACATGTGCCTCCTGGGTGATTAGGTCATTAAACTAACGCGGTTGATACATGTAGATCTCGTGACATGTTTTGTTTTCAACATCCAGTCTCTTTTAAAATCTATGACAGTCGAGCCCAAACGCCCGACGTTTGGTAAAATGGATTTCTAAAGCTCAGTCTTGCTAGCTAGGTAAACAATGACACAGCAAAAAGATAAATTCCGAGAAACTCATAGCTAGACAGTCATGTGCACCCTTAAGAGTAGACGCCAGTAGACGGAAGTTACACACACGTGCAACAAGTGAATCTCTAAAACAGACGCTCAAATTGCCGAACTACTTTATCTTAACGACATTTACGTTTATTTGAACGTTACCTGAACCCAGATGCCTCGCCTTCACCGCCGATCAGCCCGCCTTTTCTGACTTTATCGTCCGTATAAATCAGAGACTGGCACAAAATGCGGCTCCACCCGCAGAATAATAAATCGTGAGGTCAGCTGATGACCTCTTAGCCCCGCCCACTTCCCAGATTGCATTGCGAGTAAACAAAGTCAGAAGTTTCAGGTTCAACTGTTGATGTTCAACTGTTGAAAATTTTCAGGAGGCGAAAATTTCTCTCCATCATCTTTGAATACTGGATGGGAATTATACACTGAAGAACTAAATAATTTCTTGAACATCCCACTATTAAATGTCATAAATTTTGGACTATAGGTCAATAGAAATCCACCCAAAGCTCTGTAGGCCATTTTACTGTGGTACAAAGTCCATTCCATGTCTTGTGCACACAGTGTGTAGGCGTTCAGGCATGTGACTATCGACGTCACGGTGGCGTGTTTGGGGATCTGTTTAGTTGCTCTCCTGGCTACCATAATCCCACACTTCCAGCTCACACTTCAATATATCCTTTCTAGAATTCTGTACATGTATTAGCCTTTTCAATGACCTATTTCTTTACTGCTGCAGTTATGATCATCTTGTTGTGACAGTTATACCTTAACAAAAATAATTACTTTCATTGTATATATTTCACCAAATATGTATTCTTACGTACTGTACCTTACAGAGGCAATAGCCATCGACAACAGTTTTAATAAAACTATTTTCAGGTAAAAACCTGTCAATTCTATGAACATTAATAAATGAGAAGACATAAAGAATTCCCACAGAAAATTTTATTTCAAGCACTACACAAAAAACCAACCATGTTAACAGTACTAAAATGATAAAACAGCACAGTGCAAAATAGTCCTTATACCAAAACAATTACCTGTTATTCCTCCGATTAGAGCTCATAAGCAAGATCACTATGCTGGAAGCATTAATTTTATATGTACTTAAAAAGTGATACATGCACTTCTTTAGTGAATACTTGATTGATACATTGGGCTCATATGAGCTGCACACCTTACATGTAATACTGATTAAATCCAAACAAATTCTAACATATTTGCAACCAACAGCTTTTCAGAATGACATAAACAGGTATAAGTGTAGCTAACCACTGACGAAATTTCTTACTCTTAAGAAAGGTAAGAGTTTGTCTTCAAAAGCTGCACAAAGAATGTATGAAAATATGTCCAAAGGGTAAAAGGCATTTCCTATTCTCATTAACAGGTGTGCTTAGCCTAAGCTAAGCTAAGCCTGTCAATGCTTTGCTTTTCCGAAGGTAAGTCATGTAGAATAAGCATGTAGAATTTTTATTCAGGATACTGGCCTCATGTCCATTGCAACTATGCACCACAATATAGTTTTCAAAATGTAACCCTTCAGTTTTCCCAACAACATAAGTTTGTGCAAAATCACACAAAAAGTACACTATAATTCAAGTCGCAGTGTCTTTAACTTCATAGTCTCTGAAACATCACAATCAATGTCACTATACAAGGCACTTCCAAATCAAAACAAAAATAAACACCACATTTTTATACATCATATCACCTCTATGATGTAGAAAACAGATGCTGGTATGTTATGCCGAAGGGCGGTTATACCGGCTATACGGGTACAGATACAATAAAGTCTGCATAATTTTTTACACTCAATCATACTCTGCATAAGTAGCTGTAGGATACTCTTATACATAGCAAAATGTAAATTTGTTACTTCCCTGGAGAGCAAATCTCTAAATAAGCAAATTTACAAAGGCACTGCATTACCTTGTTATCCAACACTTACAGACCAAAACTTACACAACTTTCATCTACACAATGTATCTTAATATGTCCACCCCTAAATAAAGTCTAAATACAAGTTTAAAATTGTCTCATACTCTATCGTTTCTAAAATACTGAATACCAAGTGATGTCTTTATTTTATCAAACAGTATACACCTGCTCTGATACAGATACATTCACAAAGGCACCATCTTTCTTATCCAACATTTACAGATATGACCTCAGCATCTTGGCATATCCACCCCATAATACTATAACAACATTGTTACAGCAAGAGTAGCAACACTATGGAAAGTGTTCGTACATTCCATGATATCAAAGACCATAGGAAGGGACTTTTAAAGTCAAACCACTTTTGTCATACATCAAAATGATGCTACTGCTCTGCTTTACAGTTTAGAACGGGCAAAACTCCAAAGGCAGAAATGGGATGATTTACTTTCTTAGATAGTTTGTCATAGTTAGTGATCATTACAGGCCACCATAGGGGCCAAATACGTCCAGGTCTAAGCATTACAGCTGCACAGATCAGGGAATTTGTCAGTGCTTCAAGTTGACTGAAGTGCATGTAGCTTAATAATGTATGAAGTTTGAGGACAGATTTTCTTGTATGGCATGTTCTGACAATATTGATGTTTTCATAGAATTTCTGACGAATCAAAAGAATAGTGAGTGCTGAACAATATCCAACATTCAGAATAAAGAAAAAAGACAGCCATACTGTTTCAGAAAGGTAGTTAAAAGCAGAAGCTACACAGAAAGCACAGAAATTTGTAAAGATTGTGGCTGTAACATTAGTGCCAAGACCTGGACAGCCATCCATATGGATGACAAACGTTCAATATGAACTTTAACATTTCGCTTCATTGCAGGCAAGGAACAAGGTTTCATGTCTTGTGAAGGTATTCTTAGTGATGAAAAAGGATTGCTTGACACAATACAGGGCAAGAACTGTTCAAATTAACCAAAGCTGATAGACATGTATGTGTGTAGAATATTTAGTATTATGAGTTCTTGATTTCTTTTGTTTTGGGACAGAAGGAAATAAAAGTTAACAGTCTCTGTGAATGGGTCAGATCATATGTGTAAGTTTGTGAGTGATTCAATGTACTGATTATTCCTTACCCACAATATCTGCACATTTCTTGAATTAATGTTGTGACATTCTGTTGTAATGTCTACATTACACCAAATATGCACTTATTGACCAAGGCACAACATCTGTCAACATTTCAAACACTTTTCAAGGTAGAATGGTTTGGCCATTTGTAAGATATTTCATGCAATTAGCCAAAGCATTCTGCCTTGCAAAGTCGACATGTACACTTCCCTTTCAAAAGTGCTGGCTTCGCACACTTAACATTCATACAATACCAGATGGACACACGTATCCAGAAGATGTTTTCTGCTAGCTGCCTAGGACATCCCACTAGATGACCAAGTGAGTTGTTCAGCTGCGGAACTTTCTACCGCCTCCAAGAATGCTACGGACCTGTGAATGAATACAACATAACAGTTACTGACGAATAGTGAAAGAGATGACAAGAAGCAAAGGTCCTACTTCTACATGCAAATTCAAGAATGAACAAATATTTTTACACTATTTTATTTGTAAAAGTCTGTTGACTGTTGTTCTCAACCTTTGAACAGTTCTAGATTTTGAATCATTTTAGTATTTAATCACAGATATACATAATACATGTGTTAGTATGCTACCATGAAGATTAGGTTACAACAGACCATATCAAGTCCAACCAAAATAAACAAGTGATGTTTTATCATGGTTACCCCAAATTGTACAAGCCATACAAGTACATGCCACAAAGTGAAAAAAAAAAGAATAAAAATAAACCTACTGCTGTATCCTCCTTCTTGACCAAGTCGATGGCCCTGTCATTCTCATCGTTCCTGACACTCTGGTCTGCTCCGAATCTCACAAGTAACCTCACAATATCAGCCTGGATTGGGAGAACACAAACATGAGCAAAACACATAAAACACTGTGAAACTTCTTAATGATGTAGCCTTCACACTAACACAATAAGAGAAGATAAGAGAAAGTTACGTTTTTGTGTGCATCCAACTTCAAAAGAAATTAATGTCAACTTCAAAACAGAACCATGTTAGAACTCACCCTGTTGTCATCCTGTAGTCCTACAGCTGAGTGCAGCGCTGTGTTCCCGCTGTACGTCGTCTGGTTGACAAACTTGTGGCGCCTGGTGGCGTCCTGAAAGCCTGCCAGCAGCAGGTCCACCAGCTCAGTACTGCAGCTCTGTACGGCATGGTGCAGCCCCGTACGACCACTCTTCCCATCCTGTAAACACACCAACATTGTTTTTTAAAAGGGGCATTATGCAATATTCTTGCACCAATATTTGAAATGTTCTATTAAGAAATATTTGTGTGATCATAATTTTTTTCCACTTTTCAACATATTTGTGCAATTATTTAATATTTCTGACATATATGGTAGGTGCTAAAACAGCCCTCACAAGATCACATGAGTCCCACCACAAACTACCAGATTATAAACAAGCTTTTAAACACTTTTAAAAAACTTTGATATGTAGATGTCAACACTTGTTGCAGTCAATTCTATAACTGTACATGTACAATACAGCAAACAGGCAAGACTAACCTGGCAGCTTGGTGAAGCTCCCATGTCCAACATGGTCTTGACCACCTGTTGGAGTTTCTGTTGTTTGGCCCTCAGGACCTGCTTCTCTCGAGTCTCCATAACGGTTCCGGGGACACATGTGATGGACTGGGCCCTGGGCAGCTGCTTCAACTGACCCTGGCAGTGACCGCTCTCCATAAGTGCGCAATGCAGGGGCGTTAGGCCTGTACACCAAAATTTACCAAATTTAGAGACTCAAATGAGACTGGAATAACTAATATATAGGCACAAGGAAACTTTAGACACATGAAAAAATAGTGCTTTCTTCCCAAGTTATCCTGGGGGGAAACTAGGCAGGCTATTACGAGGAAATTTTGTTTTTCTTACTAAATGCAGGAATAGTTTCCTATCACCTTGGTAGTTCTTGCAGTCCATGTTGATGTCCTTGTGCAGCTCCTTGGCTACAGAGTTGAGAGCGTTCAGCACTTCTATGGCCCCGTTCTCCGCGATGAAGTGGAGGGCAGTCCGACCCTCCTTGTCCTGTTTGTTGACATCTGCCCCCAGACGGACCAGGTGATACACCATGTCCCACCTTTCCTCCATCACAGCAAGCATCAGGGCAGTCTGTTATTACAAACAAACAAGGCGATTAACTTCTCCATAAAAAAAGCAATGCTGCAAACTTAAGACTATTCATATACTGTATAAACTTTTGCTTCCCCTTGATTGACTTTCAGATGTAAATATGGGCTAATACTATTTATCTGACACCAATCCTCAAGTCAGTAGAAGTTCGTTAAAAGAGGTTATGATAAAAAGCAAACTGAACCTCAAACCTCTTCCTTCTAATATAATAGTTTACACATTTTGGTATATCCTTTGTGGCACATGTTGCAAAGTCAGCTACAAGCTAAACACTTCTGTAGAATAGCTGTAATGAGATGTACAATGTACATACTACATTTTGTAGTGTCAGAGCAGGTATGGAAAGGAATGGCAACACCAACCTTGCCAGATTTCTCGGGGACGTCGAGACTGAGGTTAAGGCTGACCATCTGCTCTGCCACAGCCTGGACTACATCACAGTTCCCCTGCATCACCACAATGGTCAGGTACCTGTGGTGGTCAGGAAAAAATACAAACCAATGTTACCAACATGGCAACTAGCACTGCGCCTATATCAATATTCCCTTCAAAACCTCATCACTTCCTTCTTACTTCAATACTCAAATGTTTTGACTTCCTCATAAATACAAAGAGTGTGTTTAGCTAGTTTAGACATAGTCCTTCAGCAAAGAAACCGATTATTATGCATGCCATAATGGTGTGAAGGCAGTGTACTGATCACATGCTATATATTTTGCTGTTTTAGGCTCCATGGTAGCCCATGGGGTAGCGGATCTTGGGGAGCGGACTAAAGCTACCAAGACTGGACTCCAGGCTAGCTTCATGGTCTATCAGAAAAAAATTTACTTTAAAATATGCAGTATTGTAGAAAGTTTAATAAAGAAGCGGCTGACACTTACGTGTCTCCATCATCGTCCTGGTGTAACAGCTCATCCTTGTGGATTTCTTGAGAGATCTGCCTGGCCAATGGCAGGCTCTGTTGTGGGGACTGACGGCTTCTCTGCTGTGGCTGGCTGACAGGACCATTACTGTAGGGCTGCACACTGGGGAAGGACTGGTTCTGGAAGGAGTTGTTACAGGGTGGCTGCATCTGGTCTGTCAAACTGCTGAGACTCAACTGGGATGGCCTGATGAGCGCCCGTTGCGGCACCATACCTGGTGGAACGTATGTTGACCTAGGGGGGCCTTTTGGAGCACTGTAGCTGGTAGGCATGGATTGGGGGATGAAGGGAGGGCAGGTGTATGAAGGGAGTGATGTTGTCGAGGTCTGCTGGTCTGTTGTAACTTCCTGCATGGTGCCAATGGACATGCCGTTCTTGGAGCTGAACATCTTTGGTGGGGAGACCATACCGCTAGGTTGGGTCACTGTTGGCTGAGGAGGGCTCCACTTGGCTGCGGTTGTTCCCTGCTGGTTGAATGGGATAGAAGTGTAGCCTGAATCTACACTGTTGCATGTTTCCATGTCAAACCCTTGAGCCTTGACTTCCATCTGCGACCAGGCAGTGTGGCTAATATCTGGCTTGACATCTTCTGGTTTGGCTGGATCAGAGTTTGGCGCTGAGTTGATCTGATCCTGCAACATGGCCAAGATCACATCAACCGCCCCATCATCATTCAAAGTAGAAGGCTCCACGGGATTGGGAGTGGCACGGGAGGGGGTGACCACAGCAACTTGTGGGGATTGGTTAATAACAAGTCCTGCAGAGTCACTGCTCACATAGGAAGATGGGACTCCAGGGAGCATCACCCTGTTAGATGTTGTCGGTTGTTGCCATGTTGCCGACATACTGCTGCTCTGACTTATCGCGGGCCAAGCACTGGTGGTAGTGGTGTTCATCGGAGGCATCTGACTCTGAGGCCCAGCAGCCCCAGCCAAACTGTAGGTGTTGAGCACCACAGGACCGTCTGCAGATCTAATGTAGTAAAGGTTTGGTGGGCTTCCCTGGCTGGAGTAACTTCTTGGGCTCCCGTTTGGATATGGGTAGTTCGCCTTTTCGATCATTTTCTTCACCGTGTTCCTTGCCTTGCCCCTACTGTTCAAGATCACTGGGCGTTCAGCAGGGATCTTCATATCTAGAGGAAGAAATTGTGATTCTAGTTACACACAACATGATAATGAAAAATAAAAAAGAAACAGCACTTGACTTTTACCTTTGCATAAGTTCATGTGTTTTCACATTAAAAAAGCAAGCTTTATGACCTGGAAGATGAGATAATACTATTGCCAATGTCTGCTGATGCTACAGTCACACTTACAGCCTGACTGATGTTCTCAAGAAGTGAAAGCTATGAAATGTGCTAATGCAGAGTAAGTAAAGTGTGCTTTATAATTATATATAACACTGGTTTTAGAATAGATGCACATATGCAAAATATGGTTAAATTTAGGTTCTGAACATAGGTTAAACCACTGTTCTGACGACAAAAACAACTTTCCTGCGTCAAGTTGAGAAACCGAATCCTCATGTTCAACCTTGCATAAAAAAACATGTGCCTGCTTACGTATGTGTATCCATGGTAGCCTAGACGTGCTTCATTATAAAGGTGCGATTGTATTTACTTTACGTGTCGTGACCGAACCACGACACATAAAGGCATGTGACCTGAGGTCATCTCTGCTTGGTTTCAGTGTGCCGTTCCCCTTTCTTTTCATATGCAAATGAATAACAAGTACAAAGTCTCACCTGAAAGTTGAGAAGGGCACGTTTACAGTCTGATGCAATGGTTAATATTAGCTCAAGTTGTTTATTATACTGTTACTGTGCAACTAACCAAGATATCCATAGACTTTAACATTACAATTAACATTTTAAAATTTCAGCAAGGAATATTCAATGTTTATGGCTCATCAAACTTTAAAGAAATGTAATTGTCTGTTAGTCTAGATCCCAACTTTTTTCTAGTTCTTCAAACTCAAAGTCAAAACTATAGATATAGATATATCCATCATATGATCTGTCTGCTTACACTAGGTTACGTCTGTTAAGAAAGAACAATTGTTTTACACTGATCAAAGACATCATAATGTCATTGAACGAATCTGAACCTGCATACCATTATAGATGTGAATTGTAACTGACCGATCTACAGTTACTAAATGCACTTGTGTTCAGAAGCAATAAGTATAAACTGCTAAAATATACTAACGCAGATAATCTGTTGGAACCTTGAAGGTTGGACTAAATTTGGCAGCATCCAAAAGGTATCCAAAAATGCAGAACTTCATGCTTTTCACTAACTACTGTAGCACCTGACAACAATGAGAGATGTGAAGGTGGGACAGGTGATTGACCTTCCTGTTAATATGTGGACAAACCGGTTCCAAAATGGATTATTTACTACAGTAACTGTAACTATGATACATGTACTAATGAAAACAAACAACAGAGGACTGTTGTTCACTGAAGCTTTTTATATTTTTGCATGTAGTGCAACTGCTCTGTTACGTATAATCAATATATGAAAAGGTTCAACTTCAACTTAGTTGAAGTATATGCCTTACATTTCAATTTTACTCCAAAACAGTACCTTCTTTGTACATGACGTGCACAGACCCAAGTGTAGTTACATTCAAAACAACCTGCCAGAATGATGTCAAAACATCCATGGTTCCACCTGAGTTCCCTCCACACACAAAATATGATGTCATACATGGACGACAACATGACGTCCCTCAGCACTGGAATGCTCTTCAAACCAGTGCTGACGTCTTTCCCAGCACTTGAATGTGTTAGTGCTGGGAGTGGTATTAGAAATCTGCAGGATCACTTGTATTTCTGCCAGTTTGATTTAAATATAAGTTATACTTATAGATTAACCTATGGCCAACTTTAATGTTATAAGAAGAAAATAAAACTGCATCTTTGTGATTATGTGCAATTATGTACGGTATTAAAAGTGATACTGTAAGTTAAGTGATATCGACCAAGTAAAAGGGATCACAAACAATTTTATTTCTGACCATGAAAGATATGACTTTGTTGTGTGATTATGATAGATATATAGCCCTTTGGGAGTGATTGTGGCCCTGAAAAGGGCCGGGTGATGGGATACGGCATTCAAAAGTCTCAGCACTTTGCTTTCAGTGCCGACAGGGGTTTTTCCAATGTTGACAACCACTTCAGCACTGGTGTTCCAGTGCTGAGAGAGGAGGGCGTTACTTTTGTATATACTGGTATGTACAGAGTGGGACTTGTCACTAAAGTAGGAAACACTTAAACTATGGAAAAAACACAAGTTGGGAGACAGAAATTCCAGCAGGTGTCCCTAGGTGGCTAGACCTATGGACAGGTGTGCAACACACCTCTCAACAGGTAAAGGGTATGATATGTGACCACAACTTCTGCTTCTGCTTTTTTGTAAGTCATTATAATATCATATGGCAAAGATCAACGTTGCACGTAATCAAAATATCTCAATTAGTAACAATGTTTTTACAAAGTCATCGAAATGATGGGAAAATTGTAAAGGCAGGCAAATATTATGACTGAATGAGGTCCCACCTCCTGGCAAAACATATTGTGTTCAAGTGAAATTTGTGACCTCATTTTTATGAAACTTTGATTGCACAAATAAAACCTTAAGACTGTCGAGATGTGGACTTGGATACAATGTAACTAAACCAGGAACCTAAGTTTTCAATTTAAGTAATGTAAATCCTTTGATCTAACGTTAGCGGTCGTGCAAAATTTACGAAAACGGAAGGGGAAGTAAGGTGGGTCACCTTCGCGCCATAGTTCATACGGACCAAAAACTCACAGAACGGCATGACATTACTTGGTAGCTTGCCTCCAAATTTCCTCACCCAAACTTTAACCAACGTTACATCTACACATGAGGGATTAGTCTACGGACAAATTCTGAACGAACCTGGTGGGGAACTCGGTCCACAGGACCCGGGAGAACCGGGCGAGCTCGGCAGAGAGTCGTCGTGGCTCATGGCGCTTCTGTGGCGGGTGGGCGAGCCGAGGGACGACCCTGGCGAATCGACCCCGCTGTCGTCTGCAAAGACGTCGCAGGACAACATCTTCCGTCAGATTTTCGGCTAAAACCTCCGAACTTAGACTTGTGAGAAGATGTTAGCTTCTCGCGGTTTTCCTTCTTCGTAGATGGCAGGAATACTAGGAGGAAATGAGGCCAAAAAAATCCCTAAATTTTACCTTTGCGTCAGCCCTGAGATCTGCAAGCTGATTGGTCGATTGCAGGGCGTGATCGAAAAACACTGGCTGACATCACTAGGTCATACCATGCAAAAATCTATTGTAATTAAAGGGGTGGCAATTGGATAGGTAATATTTTTAAAGCCATATAGTTTATTTCTATACACCATCATCATTTATAATGATATGGATAATACCTTCATTTAACTTAATTAAAGTAAGACATGAATATCTATGGATAAACAAAAGAAATAAAATTTTGTTTTACTAAGCAAACACCCCTATGCTATGTGGTGTAATGCCTAGCTCTGCAATACCTGACATGAACACACCTGTGATCAATTCAAGGTTGTTGCCATCAAACTTATGAAATGGGGATTCCCCTGTGTCATGACGTGTACCCCTTTTTTGCTATCTATTATGGTATCCCGTTGGAATTTTCATGATACTGTATTTATTCAGCTTTTGGTAGCCGTATGATATAAAAGATCCTGGATGGCGGTAGTAGTTGAAGCATTACCATTAGGAGCTCCTTGTTTGAGGTTTTCACGGGATTACAATATGATTTAACATTATGAGTACACAGCTTATATGATTGACAGTTGATCTACATTATTTTACAAACTGACAAAGTGAACAGTCTGTAAGATTCTGTTATCTTTTAATACATGGGTGTGAGTAAATGCACTTACAGGACATAAAAGAATACGAACTACCGGTAAATAACATTATAACTTGCATATGTTTTATTGTCATCAGATCTCATATAAATCAATCAATCATGGTAACGTTATCAAATACTGTACATTACTGTACTGTATCTTTCATAATGAAGTTAAAAACTACTAGTATATTAGATGTCAGTTGACCAGTTGAGTGTAAAGTTAACTTATCCTTCACAAATAAGCAATGGCACCATGTACCAAAATACATTATTTCCTGGCTACATTTATGTTAACCATAATAATAACTACTATTAATGATACATATTATTACTGGATCATTTGTATAAAATACACACCCTTACGATGTTGGTGAACATTGAACCTTACAAATCATGACATTTTGATTCCCACAACTGAATAATTAAATCAAAGTCCATCCTTGACATCATAATGCACACAGCAACCAGTTCAGAGTCTGGCATGACAGCTCACAAAAAGCATTCTTTCAAGAAGCAAACAAAGCAAACTTTATGTTAACTTGCAATTCATGTAATGACTATGCAAACATTGCTACTAATACTATAACTTGCAATTGCTGTCATCCCAATGATTTATTCACAATTATCATATAGCCAGATGAAGTTTACCAATCAGAAGCCCCTATTTTAATTTTTGTGACACAGCTACCAGTATGTCATATAAACTTGATACAAGTGTAACTGTTGAAAAATCATCAAATGGTCCTTTTGCTATTTTATAGGTGGTCCTTTGTTTTATTTAATAATAAAAGCAACTGACAAGGTCTTACTACACCATATACACCTTGGGGCAGGTCATTAACCATTAACTAGTCAATGGTACATAATGGCTGGATGTGACTGTGGTAAGTGTATTTTAGCCCAGCCTAGGTGTTGTCTCAAGCTCTCAACTCTGCCTGGAGCTTAATACCATTGACCGGCTGCGGGAAGGGCTCAAACTTCTTCAGCTTCAGCGTTGTCTGGTCAAAAGGAAACAGAAAAAACATCAGTTTTCGATCGAAGCTGAATGGTTGATGTTTATTCTGCTCTGAAGAAATTCCCAATGTTAAGCTTGTTTGTAATAACTTAATGCCTGAAACAGGTGTTTACCAAAAGATACAACAAATGAAGCAGGTTGTTTTGGCAAAGCAAAGACTTGGTCACGGAACAAGTGTTAAATAATCAAAAGTTTAATGCAAACTGTATCCAATGAGGACGCTTCATGCCGTAACACATCAGACTGCTTGCACTTTTATCACATTTTGCAAGGAGGCATTTCTACACATGGAAATGACTGAACTGCTTTTTCCGCAACCAAATTGGACTGGACTTTGTTTTCCACCAACCCGACATCAAAATGCATTGAACATGATCATGCTTACATCAGTATCAGGCCCAGTCCTGATGCGGTACTTCATGAGAACCTTTGCCAGCCCGATCTTAGCCTCCATCATGGCCAGTCGCATCCCGATACAGTTTCGCGGTCCCGCGCCAAACGGCAGCCAATCGTACTGGTCACGCTTCTCTCTCTCCTCTGAGGTAAACCTGAAGCAACGATGACGGCAACAGGTTATGTTCACGGTACCAAATTTCAGTCTGAGAAAAATGGAGGTGGTCTCAGAAGTTTATGTTCACGGTTGCAGGGAGAGGGGGGCAAAAGACAAATGATTTGTTAACGGTAATGATAAGTTCACGGTACAGAAGTGACCACGAAAACTGTGAACATAAAAGTAGCGAGAAAAATCAGGAATTATGTATTTCAGGAACCACATTACCTTTCAGGAATGAACTTTTTTGGCTCAGGCCACCTTTCAGGGTCATAATGAATGGCAAGGACTGGGATCAGGACAGTCATTCCTTTTGGAATCTTCAGCCACTGGATTGTTGTATCTCTCGTGCATATGCGGGTCATGCTTCATGGAAAAGTGTGATAAATAAAAGAACACAGTTTTTAATACAATGTACCAGTAGTTCAGAAGTTGCTACACGGTCAGGAACTTGAAGTTGATTGGTTTCTTATTTTGTACTTCATACCCACTTATTTCCAATATGAATAGATAAATAAATAAAAAGTTGTCATGGTGTGATAAGTAACACTCACATAAGTGCAGCAGGAGGATAGAGTCGGAGTGTCTCCATGATGCACATCTCCAAGTATGTCATCTGCTGAAGGGCTTCATGGTCTACCTGGTCCTAAAGATAGTCATAGATACATGTACATGACACATGTAAAATTGGATATTTGAGACCACACAATACCATCCTTACAAGGGCTATGATATAAGTCAAGGAGCTTATAGCTATAGGGAAACAAGCTCCTTGATACTGTGCAAAGGTTTTGTTTTTTTTTCTAATCAGTGCAGAGTGAACCTGATCTTAACATTGTATAATGATGATCTTCGGTTCAATATGTCACATCAATTCCCCTCGCTTGATTACACATACATACCCTTATGAGATACATTATACATAATACATAATTACAAATAAATACATAATGGTACATTATTGTCAAAAAGTAGAACATCTCTAAGAGGAATTCAACAAGAAACTGTTTATACTGCAATCTTGAACTTAGTCATGTTAGGACTGTCAGGGAAAACCGAGGCTGGTAAGGTAATTTTATCACTGCTAATAGGATCAGATGCTGTGGGTACAATTTTATCAAGAAAAGTAGGAGATGATCCAGTGTGCGTGCAAATGGCTAAAAATGCAAACCATTAGCAAAGCCACATTGCAATCAAGGAGCTCCTTGTTGCAATACTACTTCTTTTTCATGGTATTTTTATGTTCACGGTTTTCATTGTCACTTCTGTACCACAAACAAATCAATTATTCTTTTGAACATATATGATATAGTTGCGTGAACACCTCCGTTTTTTTAAGCCCATGAAATTTTACTACCGTGTTTGAAAAACATAAAAGTTTTCCAACTTAGAGGATGACTTACATGTAGCTTGACTAAATTGCACTTCTGGTGTCCAATCCAACTAAGGTCATTTAGTTTGTGTAATTACACAGACTAAGAATGACTCAATTGTGCCATAAAATATGCAGTGCAAAATGTATAATGTACCTTTTCCCTCATGACATCATCAACTTCCTGGATGACCTTGTCCTGTGCTTGTTGATTGACAGCGAGGTTGAACAAGGTGAATGCCATGGTGGTGGCAGTGGTGTCATACCCAGCCAGGAAGAAAACAATGCCGTTGGAGACCACATCATCCTTAGTCAAGGCTACAGCAAACATATCATCAAACGAAAGGTAACATTTGCAAATGCATAATACCTTTGCATATGGTCTGCTCTGTTAATTCTTACTCAAATACATTCATATATATGATCAGACAGGAGTCTAAATCCCTCCTACTATAAGATTGCAATGTTATGTAACCCAACACCAGCATGTACAAATGTATGTTTAAAGCTCAGCAATTTGAGTATAGCATTGTCTCATATCACCTTGCTTTTTCCCCTGGACTTTCACATCTCTGTTGTCCTCTTCCTCCTCTTCTGGCTCTTTGTGAGCATTCAACATCAGCTGCATGAAATCTAATCGTTCCTTATGGAATGAAAAGATGAAGAAAATCAGTACGGTACAAAAAGTTGCCTAAAACATAATTATCATGACTTTCAGTAAAATCTCATCCGAAAGTCTGAAGTGTTGATAGGGTTTGGGCCATCCTTTCCATACAATCAAATCTAACTTTAGGACTCAGTCACTTATAAAGTTTGACTTGTGGGAAACCATAGGCCACACCAATCTAATTTGTTGGTTCTCGGATTCGCCTCTTCATTTTTTCTGATTTGCAAAAAAAAAAGAAGATTCTGGTTCTGAATCAACTCAAAAATGCTCATATTTTGCCCCCAACAGTTGAGGAAAGTCCTTTTCTTCCTAGTTGTTACAGTTTTTCCATCTATCAATGTGGTGGTTTGATTAAAAGTTTGAAATTTTAAATGTTGACCCAGCCTTTTGTGTTGACTTTGTGGCTCCTATCGTAGCATTTGGGGCTATAATAGGATGCCTAGACCTGTTTTTTTTGTCGCCCTGTCGCTTCATATTTTTAATGAAAAAATCCGAGAACCAACAAATTAAATTGGTCTGGCCTTACAACGCAAACATTACTGAATAAGAAAACACTCACAGACACAGTTGTTTGCCGTAGTTCTATCAGCTGGTCCAGAACCTTGTAGAAGAACTTTGTTGTGCTTCGTGGGAAGAAGTTGTATCCTATCCCTTCCAGCAGCGGCTTCATGATCCATGGGAAAAACACTAAAACATTGTTGAAAGCATCTATTTAACATTGGTGTCAGGCTAATTGATATGTACAAAATGTATCATACAGAATTTTCCACCATCACAATTAGTGCAATCCTTTCATTTCAAATTTCAGTTGTTTTTGATGTAAAAGTATAAAATGCAAGATAATAGGTATTATGGCTACATACTACATGTTGTAGTATATAACATTATGACATATAACATATCACACACACAAGTTGTCTGTGGGCTTTTGGCAAGTTAACCACACTTTCAAACAAACTTGTCAAGAGGGAAAAGACAAGAAGAAGAAGATACAGAAGATATAAAGAAATTGATACACATATTATGTACGTACGGAATATCCAGAACAAGGGATTTTTAAATGGTCCTTCAAAGCCTTTCTTGGCGTGAACAACGAATGGATCATTTGGGTTGCGTTGAGAGTCGATGTCTGTTCCAAATGCTACACTGGCAATGGCATCCATAGTGAAGGCACCTGTTAGTCTTTAAAAAAATACAAAAAGTAGTTAACAAAAATAAAACTTTTTGTAATTCTGTAAGTGCCACCACCGGCACACCCTTGAGCAATAATTTGAAACAAAATAATAAACTGACTAATAATCTTGGTATACCATATTGATGTATGTTGTGTCCAACACATTACAAATTTTATCAATCACAGCAAATACGCACCATTTACTGTTGTAAAGGACAACTATGTTACATATACGTATATGTAACATGTTTTGTCGGACCCTGAATACCACTTCATGACTTTACTGAAAAGTGCCCTGCAGGCAGATTTTAGCTTCTCATAAATAAAGAATGCCTAAAACAAACAAACATAATACATACGTTTTGGCGTCAAATGACTGGCCTTGGCTCGTGTGTTCACCCAAGTTGCTCACAAGCTGGTCAGCACAACGGTTTATCTGCTCCGACATCTGAAACACAAATATGATGGTGATCGGGAGCCTGATTAACCTTTCCCCTGCTGCCTGAGCCCATTACCAATACAAACTTCGGGCCAAATGACTACCTTAGCAGGCTGGTGGTTAAGCAGCCCTTAGTGACTGTCTGGCCCTCTAGATGGAAGCTTTAGGGATCATTACGGCACTAAACAGAAAGAATTTGCATTACACATGTGGACTAGGAATTGACAACTGGATTCTATCAATGTTTGACTGTAACAGTCTTACATGCATAATATAGAAAAATGATACTGCATCATTGCAAAGTCTAGATGTGAAAGAACTACAGGTACGGTAACCTCTATATACAATATGACAACAACTGCTACTCAATTACTTTTAATGACTGTGTTATGATAACCTCTGGTCAGTGAAGCTAAGCCTTTCTAGATAATAATTTTAATTACTACTAGTAATATATTCACCTGCTTGAGCTTTCTGCCACTGAAAGCCGGGCTGAGAGTGCTCCTCATGTTCTTCCAATCTTCTCCATTGACCGCAGTCAGCATGCGATCTATTGGTCTGGTCTTTAAAAACTGTGTGTCTCCCTAAAAACAGGATATTCAAAACATCTCAATCCTTATAGATTATTACATAGATAAAAGGGAAGCCAACTAATATTTCATAGCTATATATAGGCTTGATATCAGGTGTCTAGAACATGAGATAGCAAAACCAGAAGTATTGCTGCAGTGCTATAGAAAGCCACTAGGAGGCCCATAATTAAACTTGTCCACACATACCAAATATCATACAGATGATGAGATCCATATAATGGCTTTTCGAGTTAAGTTGTCTAAATGCACGCGGCATCAAATTATATTCCCTCATAGCAAAGGTGATGATGAAGTATCTTTCTACTTACAGTTCTTTGAGAGAAGTTTTGAAATTGCTTGACAAAGACTTCTCGAAGCATCTCTCTGTCAGAGATGACCAGCAGTGGTGTGGCTGCCCCTCTGTAAAGCCTGTTAGTGAGAGTCACAATAGTTGCCTTGATCCGTTCAAATTCCACAGATATCCCTGTTATACAGTAGTGGGGTTTTATGACAATAAACGGCAGAGCATTCGACTCAGAACCAAGAGCTCCTGGGTTCAAATCCTGCCATGTCACTGATCTTGTGCCCTTGCCTCACTTCACTTACTAATAGGTGTATGCCAGAAGGATTATTATCATGATCGTGAGCATTAAACGAAGGAGAATAAGAAGAAAATACCCTGGTTGCCTGCGCAGTGCAATATGACTACCCTGGGAGCCAGACTAAACATATCGGACCGTTAGCCTGTTCCCTACGATGGCCAAAAGCACCTGAGCTAACAGCTTAAATCATCATTATTAGGCATGCAACGCCATTCAAAGTGGGAAAATATTTCAGATGCTTTTGATCCTATTCCATACAGCTACTTTTCACAGTTTTTTTTGGCTTACTACACTTTGAAACACAGAAACCATTTGCAACTGTACAGCTCAGTAGTAAGTTTTGTTACTTGTGACAATTTTTAAAACGTTAACACTGTGGATAGCAAATTTGACCAAATGCATTCTTAAAAATGTCCTGTACTCACCCATACACCTTTCCGTACCGTTGTGACCTCTCTACTTGATGATCTGGGTTATAGACCCCCTGTTGTTCAAGGGATAATAAAACAGTGATTTGCAAAAGTGTCTTGATGATCAGTTTAAATGTGAATAATAAAAGAAAGATTAATGAAAGTTTGACACAATTCTATACATAGATATGGAATACAGGACAAATATACAAATACACTGTATGTATACAATGCGTACATGTCGAATATCCAGCACATTTCCGATAATAGGCCACGGCCGTGGTCCATGAACCCCCATCTTCTGGAAAGTTGACAGAGGCCGCACTCCATATCTATTCATTCAACACAAAAGAAGATGATTTGTTATGGTGTCCTTGATTATAAGTACTGTAACTAAATGTAAATGCAAAATTATCACAGATGTTGTGCCCTTGGGATTATAGGCACTTCACACAACTTTCCTCACTTCACTTACCGGTAGGTGAAAATGGGTTTAAATAGGCATGTCCCTCAGATAGGACATTAATAGCCTTACTGAACCTCGCTTTTCGCCGGCTCCCTAGTAGTGGGTGGCGGACTACTAGTATAGTATGTAGGGAGCCCCCTGGAGCTTGGGTTTCACAGGCTAGGACATTAAGTTCGTGATTCAAAACGTGATTCGGTTTTATTCCATAGCTTCTTGAGCTAATGTAAGAAAAACAAAAAATTGGCATACCCGTACTCTGACCAGAGCAAATTTTTTCCCAACTGGATGCAAGATATACTAAAAGGATCCACCCCAGAGTCGTGGTCAAAAATTTACTTGCCCAAGCCAGGCCCAAACGGGCAAGTCCAGGGGAGATATGCAGTGCTTTTACCGTGCTTTTACTTGCCCTGGTATTAAAGAGGGCAAGTAGACTTGTCCAACTCACATGTAGACAAGCAGCGCCAGCAGCCCGAGCAAGACCCACGTCAGAGGAATCGGGAGGAGGTCAACAACCATCACGGATACGGTTCACCGTTCGAGATACAGAAACTCCCACAAAATTCACCAGATTGTTTCAAGGCCGAGTCGCTCTGCGGTTGTCCCAACTTGTTATTTAGTGAAGCTGACCCGACCTACGGGTCGTTGACCTGTACTGCGTAGGGTCATGATATGATTATAAAGAGATATCGGTGATTGGGACATCAGAAGAAGAAATGTGCCGATATGATCTATAGGGCATTACTAAATATCAATTTTCCTTTGCGTATGAAACAAATAATTTGATATAAAAAAGATTTGTCCTAAAAAAAGTGCAAGTTGTTTGTGGCGCATAGGCTCATGGGAGATTCGAAATTGCGCAGCTGTTCTGCGCACAGCAATGGCCGACTAGACGTGTTTAGTACACGTCAGCTCAGAATCTTGCTGAAAAATCGCCTGTTTTACTGCTTAAACCCGCGATTTGAGTCACGGGATGGACGAACAGCAAGGCGGGGTGATTCAGGATGAGCGTGGACAGTGGGTGGAGGACGTAGGACACCCAGATCTGTCTCAGGACCCGACAATCGTACAGGATACCTACAAAATAGGTAAACATCGTCATCATCAACACTAGCCTTGGATCCGGGTTTGATTTCTAGTTGTCTCCTCAAAAAACACACCGCGACAAAAATATTTTGTTAAAACCGCAAAACATAATTTTTCTGGAAGAATTGCTCATAATGATTTCGGCTTTTTCCACACCGTGAAACATAATTTTTATTGTAAAGCAATAATAATTTTGCCAGAAATAATTTCATATTACTTCAACAAAATATTTCATATATTATGTAACGTTAAGCAAGTTTGTTTCAACTAATTCCTGTCAGGTTTGTTTTCAACTGATTCCTGTCATTCATAATCTGCTTTCAATTCCATGTACTAGTATGTAATATATTTGCCATGTTTACAGTAATTATGATGAATTATTATATACAAATGTGTAAGAATGATAACTAAATATCAAGTAATATTCTCCTGTTTGAATTTTTTCTGTTGCAAGCAAGCACAAATGTATTGTATTCTTAGAGTCCTAACAATAAGGTCATAACTAATATTATGAAATAATATTCACCTGTTTTATTTTTTTCTGTAGTGAGAGGTCTACTGGTTCAGTATGGATGGCTGGTGTTGTTTGTTATTGTTGTGCTGATGTACCTGAAGAGTAAACTCAACCCCTACATAGAACAGTACAGGAGGAAAAGGGAGAATGCCACCAACCAGGCTGCATACAGTAAGTAGAACCCTCTTCACTCAGCAACATGTAACTTTACACTGCAGCAGTTTCCACCCTGAATCATAGACAAGTAATAAGCTGTTCCCAACATTATGTAAAATAACATGCTTTTGCTACCGCAAACATGAAGTGAATTACAGTATATAAAATATGCCATTGATATGTATGTCTGTCAGTCTATATATGAGTTTCTGGTATTATGGATGGATGGATGGACAGACGGAGGGAGGGATGGATGGATGGATGGAACGGATGGACTGGTGGCAAAGGGATGCTGATAGAAATTGAAGTTTTTTTCGGATTTGTACAAATGTTTATGAAGTTGCTCCTTCCCCACAGATCCAGATGTGGCCCTGTCCAGACAAGAGGCCATGGAACAGGCTCGCCTGAGGATGCAGGAGAAACAGGACGCACTGGCAGCACAGTATGCAGAGGAACTCAGAAAGGTGCAGCTTTTCAACTACACAACTGTTACATGCAACATAGCAGTTAATCAATTAATCAATGGGTGTTCACTGCTCAACATTTGCTTTATGCCTGAACTTCATCTTTTATTTTCCTGTCAGAGGGAGGAAGCAAAGAGGGAGGAAAAAATAGAAGAGTGGGAAAAACTCCAGCAAGGAAAAGGATACCACTCTAAGACCAGAGTCCAGGTATGGAATTCCATTTCTAGTACATGTACAAGGTATATGTTTGGCAAATGTCTACCTGTAGAGTCACTAAAGAGAAAATACAAAGTCTGATATATTCTGGTTTTAGTATCGCTTTAATGTACCCTGAATACATAGATTAATTCAACGTTCAACTTAGTTCTTGATTTGTGAAATACAAAAATGTACAGAGAAAGCGTTAGGGAAAACATTGTAGTTGTTGCTAACTTATCATTTGGAATTATCGCTTTTTTCTTCAGACTGATGATGCAAGTGGACAATCTAAACCAAAGCCTCAACCTAAAAAACGCCTCAGAGATGGTATGTACTGACTACTGAAACAGTTCTTCCTTTCTGCTAATTGATTCTGTTGTTGTTTTCTATACACTGATATAACGTCTACCTCAACAACAATAGATAGATCAATAGTTATGATAGAGAACTTTATTGACACAACAAAAGTACAGGAACTTTTGTAAGGTCTATAACTAGACATACAGACAGACACATGAGTAGAAAAGAATTGAGCTATGTACAAGACTATAGATGAGTCAAGTATACTACTTGTCTAAAGGTCTAAACATTCTTTGATATATTTATCTACATGCTGGGATACACAGTAAGGGACCTAGGTAGGGTTCTAGAATGAAGGTAAAATTTATCAATAGCATAAAGTGCGATGATAACAAGTTGGCCTTGCATAATACAAATAGGCTGATTCATTTATATAATGGAAAATATGAGTACTTCAAAAGTGTGCTTTCTTCTGTTAGAGCAATGTTGACATGAAAATCTATTTTAAATATTAATCGTATTGTGTAACCCTTTTTTGCAGGTTTTAACCCCATGACTGGCGAGGGTGGCGGCTCGTGTCGCTGGCGACCGTCTCCGAGAGGCGGGGCACGCGGCGGCGGATGAGGTTAAAGTTCGTGTGCATGGACCACAGTGCACTTTGGTTCTGTCCAGCCCTGTCTCTCCTTTTCTCTCTACCTTCCTAATTTCTCTAATCTACAAGGCATTCCTTGTCTTTGTTTAAAGTTTTGCCTTCTTTGAGTTACTGTAGGTCACTTTATGTTTACAGTAGCAGAATTTGAGAAAACTTGAGGTCTTCATGGAACGATATGTTCACTTTGCAGGAAAAAGAAAGTTGGCAATTGATTTGTTAGGCATAATGATAAGTTTACGGTACTGAAGTGACCATGAAAAAGACGTGAACATAAAAGTACTGTGAAAAAATCTGGAATTACAGTATTCAACTCTTCTCTTTGTCTCTTGGACTGGACACCAAATGCCTGTTTGTTTGCACACAAATTCAGCTCCATCTTTCCAATGGACAGCAACATCTTTCAAAGTGACTACTATTAGACCACATACATACTGCAATTGTTGCAACATTTACTATACTACAAGTTTGTCATATATAGAATATATGTATCTACTTTTTTTTCTTGGTCCACACAGGGTTACAGCAGATATTACAGCATAACGGTAAAGATTACTAGTATTTCATGTGTTGTATAAGCTTTGATGTGATCAAGAGTGTAATGTTGCTGTACATTTGAAGGAAGGAGTAAGTTTAGGCAGTCAACTTCTGAGGGCAGCTTCTATCAAAGTAGGACATGTTTTATGGTTATAACAGTATCATACATTTTGTACATCCGTTCCAAGTCATGTACAGTATATATTATACTGTTAAGAAAGCCACACTAAAGTGCAGACTAGATAGGATTTTGTCCTAACTGAAACTATTTGTTATTTTTGCTTTTCAAGCAGGTCAGGCATTTGCAATACACTTTATACATGTACTGGATTTCTTAGGTAAAAGAATCTATACATACAATGTATGTAGCAAATTGTTGCATAATAATCATACAATGTTATGTGTTACATACAAGATTGTTCTGTAGATAAAAGTATTAATTATGAAGTAGAATACAATTTTTCATGCCTTTGAATTTTATTAGCAAGATTATTATTCTATTTACATCAACTTACCAGGACTGAAAGATGTAAAATTTTGTTATGTATGTCCTTACTTTGACCTGCCCTCAGAAGTTTTAATGATGTTTGTGCTAAAAATGACTGTTAAGTCAGTGGTATAGACTGAGAAAAACTGCCTTGTTGCACTGAATTGTAGATACTGTTTGCTTGAATATTATTATAGCAAATCTATATGAATGGAACATATTGAATTCTGCTGCTGGAAAATGTGTACAACTGCAGATAAATGATAAATAAAATCAAGTAAATAGATAGATGACTCAGTCTCCTTTAGTGCGGAGAGTACAATTACTGAAGTCTCTTATATGTCTTGTC